GGCTCCTGGCTTCAGATCGGTGCAGCGTGCCGGCCATAGCAGCCACTTGGGGGGTGAACCAATGGAAAAAGGAAGACCTTTCTCTCTGTCTCTCTCTCTCACTGTTTAATTCTGCTTGTCAAAAAAAAAGATTTATTTTATTTAATTGAAACACAGAGTTACAGAGAGAGAAAGAGAGGAAAAGACAAAGAAACAGGGTCCATCCACCCTCTGGTTCACTCACCAAATGGCTGCAATGCCAGGGTTGGCCCAGGCCAAAGCCAGGAGGCAGGAGATTCTTTCAGTATTCTCACATGGTGGCAGAGACCCAAGAATTTGGGCCATCTTCAGCTGCTTTCACAGGTGCATTAACAGGGAACTTGATAGGAAGTGGAGAAGCCAGGACTCAAATTGGCACCCATATGGGATGCCAGTTTTTCAGGCAATGACTTAACCCACTATGCCACAACATTGGTCCCTGGAGAAATCTTTAATCAGGCCCAGATCCTGGTAAATTGCATGAACTAACTTGGCCTAGATCTGGATTTAGGCCTTGATGCTAAATCTTAGAATGAAATTGGTGATAAAGGTCTTTAAAATATGGACTACATTATTCCATAAGCATTTGAATGAATAATTAAATAAATAAGTAAATATCCTCGAGAGAGAGTGATGCAAAATGGCCACAATGGACCAAATTGAGATACAGATGAGGCTTTACTTTCAGGAATATGGATGAGAATATCTTCAATGGAAGATAACAAAGATCCTTAATTATCTGAGTTTACTCATTTCACTGAGTAAACTCATTTCAAGCTTAGAAACATCCATACATAAGCAGGTGTTAATAAAGCAGGAGGCAGTAAATGCCATAACGGAAGTACCACATGATGATGAGAGTTCAGGTTCATGTGCAGTAGATATGTGTGGAGTTTTAGTCTCATCACCCACTAAGGTTTACTTAGTGACTGAAACCTATATCTGTAAGAGAAATATTATGGTTTATTAATTTATAAATACTTTATTCCCAAACTGGGAGAACTTATATCATCTAATTCCTAACCCACCAACCAGGCACATCCATAATGCCAGAGAAACTAGCAGTTTGAAAACATAGAGATGACTCTACAACACCAACAGGAACAAGAAGCAGAAAAAGTATGGTCTGGGCAGCTCCTAAAATGATATTCCCTTTCACCTGTAGTTTCTTTCTCCAAGGTTTCTCTTTATCCAGATCCTATCTTCCTAGGCCTTGGAAGTCCTGACTCCAATGCCCCAGTGGCAAACCGCTTATTGAATGAAGAATAGGATAGAGAATAAAAGGAAGAGTAAAGTGGTTGTGGTGTCTGGTATAGGTAAAATATGCTACTTTTATTTTTTTAATGTGTTTACTGATGTAGAACTGATCTTTTTGTATCCCCTGAACTCTCCCTGCTATAGATCATCTGTTACTTGTCTTTTTCTATTTTTTAAAAAAATTTTTAGACTAAGGAAGAGAGAGAGAGAGAGAGAGATCTTCCATCTGCTGACTTACTCCCCAGATGGCTGCAATGAGCAGAGTGGGGGTGATCTGAAGTCCGGAGGTAGGAGCCACTTTTGGGTTTCCTGCATGGTTTCAGGGACCAAGGTACTTGGGCCATCCTCTGCTACATTCTCAGGCACATCAGCAGGGAGCTGGATGGGAGGCAGGACAGCAAGATCATGAGTTGGCTCCTGTATGGGATGCCAACACCACATGCAGTGGCTTTACATGCTGTACCATAGGACTGTCCCCTAATATATTACTTTTGCAAAGATAGGCCCTGGAAAATCAACCACAAGAAATGAGCCCAATGTCTGATATTGAGACACAGTTGGTTGAGACAGCTCACAGTGCCAGCATCTCATATGGGTACCAGTTTGAGTCCTGACTACACCACTTCTGATCCAGCTCCCTTCTAATGTACCTGGGAAGGCAGTGGAGGTTGGAACAAATGTTTTAGCTCTTACCATCCATGTGGGAGACCTGGATGGCTGGCTTCTGGCTTTGACTTGGCCCAATCCTAGCTATTGTGGCCTTTTAGGGAGTGAACTAGTAGATGAAAGGTCTTTCTCTCCTTTCTTTCTCTGTCTGTAAATGTCTTTTAAGCAAATAAATTTAAATAAAAAGAACGCATTAAAAAAAGAAATGAGTCCAGTTTCTTTTGAATGTGTCCTTTTCCTCCCAGTCTCCCAAGTGCCCAGTGCTGAGGTTCTCTTCTTTCTCTCCTGATTACTATCGAAACTGCTCCCACAACAATAGGTTTATGCAGCCCAATGGTGTAGCCCTGCAGGATAATCATAACCCTAGAGCCAGACACAAGCAAGGTATCCACAATACAATAGCTGCCACAGCTGCCCCCAGTTATCTCCTCCAAGTAAACACTTCCGGATCATAGTGCACATGCCTCTCTGCTGATACTCCATGATTTTAGGAGTACTACTGCATGAGGTGAAAGGTCTTAGAGCACAACTGGTCATAAAGGAAAATGAGCAAGCCAAGAAATTTTCTATGTGTAATTTGATAGCCTATGTGTATTTTGACTATTTTGGAAATTTTTTTCTTGTTTCTTGCTTCATTGTGTTTTGAGTACCTAAGTTTGGTGGACACATGCATTCGTGAGGTATTCTAAATTCAGCTTTGAATTATACAATTTTGTGGGTTTTTGAATTTAACTTTTTAATTCAGATTGTTCTTAGAGACACTGATTATGTCTTCTAGCTTCTAAGTAACTACATCATGACAAGAACCATTGTGTATGGTAACAGTTAAAAATGTTTGGCTTGATGATTGACATAGAGCTTATAGATACTATCTATGAGATTGTTTCCTGGATTTATGGGGATTTTATAAGTTGATTGGAGATAGGTAGTCCTTTATTACTGATGAATATTAATGTACTGAAAATACCATGTCCTTTAAATAATAAAAAAAAATTACACATGAGTTCCCTGCTGCCTTCATCTACCATGGTGAAGCATTGAAATCCTGTTGTTTCTACCTTTTAGATCTCACTGTAGTGTCTGGTCTCTTCTTCATTCCCACTGCCACCATACCTTGGTTCAGGTCCTACAAAATTACATTTAGCATATTTTTAATTGATCTCCCTGCTTTTTGTTTTCCTTACCCTTGTGTCCAAAGTTTTTTGTAGTTCAGCCCCCCTTCCCCCCAGCCTGTATATGTATATGGTTGCTCAGTACCTCTTACTCCAATTTCTAGGGAAATCAAGTGGCTGGTAGTTCTTTCAATACACACAAAAGAATGCTCAATAAATGCTTACTAAATAAATGAATGAAATGCCTTCATAGCTAGAGTGAATATTTAACCTCCTTGGCTTTGGATTGTTCCTGTTTATACATTTCAAACCTGTGCAGTTGGTAATATGTCCCTTTTATTATCAAACTTGTCCCAGAAAACAAATTATTTATTTACCTAATTGTGGCAGTCATCAAACAGGTTTCTATTTCATTGTCTCTTCTAGTAGATAGTTTTGGGGATCAGAAATTGTATTTGTTTATTTTTTTATATCCTCACTTATTCATTCAACTAAGACTGATTGTCAAGATGCTGAGTTTTAATGTCAAAACGAACATGCTTCTTGCTCTCATAAAGTTTTCAATCTGGTAAGAAAGAGCAATCCATCTAAAGAATATTGCCTGAAATAGTAAATACTAGTGTGAAATGAATGGATAGATTTAAGCATTCCTTTTTTTTAAGGATTTATTTTATGTATTTGAAAGACAGAGTTACACAGAGAGGTAGAGGCAGAGAGAGAGAGGTCTTCCATCTGCTGGTTCACTCCACAGATGGCCACAATGGCTGGAGCTCTGCCAATCTGAAGCCAGGAGCCAGGAGCCTCTTCTGGGACTCCCATGTGGGTGTAGGGGCCCAAGGACTTGGGCCATTTTGCACTGCTTTCCCAGGTTATAGCAGAGAGCTGGATTGGAAAAGGAGCAGCTGGGATTAGAACCCATGCCCATATGGGATGCCGGTGCTTCAGGCCAGGGCTTTAACCCACTGTGCCACAGTGCTGGCTCCGATTTTAGCATTCCTAATCCAGAAACTCTAATTCCATGAATTATAAATGACAGAAGTAATCACATAGAAGTCCAGCTATCCATTTGTGTTTCTACTTAAAAACTTAAAAAATCAAACAACACACATTATACCTAAAAATGCAAAAAATATGTGGTTTCTTGACATTAAACATAAGAAAAAATAGCCATGGAATAATAGCAACTTTGAATCTCTTTCCTTTTTTAGGCAAGTTATAATCCTATATGGTTCTCCACAATGCAGATTATCATTGTAGATACTCTTCTTCTCTTTCACTTTTTTTTTTCCAAATGAGAAATCCGGGGTTTTAGAAATTGAGCCCAAAGACAAAATAAAGATTTCTAAAACCAGTATTTCATTTTGGTTGGCCTTTAACTTAGGCTTTTTAACCATATTTCCATGTGTAAATTCAATTCTAAACTCTTTCCACCTAAGTTTCCTCTTTGAAAATTGATAATACTATTTCCAGAACTTACCTAAGGTATAAATGATACAATGTAAGGCATTTAGTCCCTTAACCTGGCTCCTAGAAGCTACTCGGCGACGTTAGTTCTGTATCCAGTTTCCCTGTTTGCTTGTGTACTTGGTGTATTAGAGGATGGTGGAAAATGATTTTAAAAGAACAATAAAGACAAGTAAAACACAAATAAAAATTGTATTTTCAAATCTGGATGCAAAACTCTGCTAAAAGCTACATTGAATTCATAGTCATTTATTATTTGAGCAGCTTTCCAGGAACAAGGCAGCCAGTAAGATTTTTTGAGAGAAGACAGCTTATGAAAGAACCGTGATGTTGGGCCCAATTAGCAGCAGTGGGTGTCACTTTTCAAGATTTTGGTTCAAGAAAGGAAGAACACCAATGGCTCTTTCAGATTTGGCGGTGGGAAGGAAGGGAAGGAGGGACATACACGAAAGCAAACGCCATCTGGTTTCCTCTGTCTCCACCCACCCCACACTGAAGCCCTCAGTCCGGGCCAGCTGGTTTTTCTAGGAACGCCCCGGCCTGGACTCCATTTCCCAGAGGCGCCGGGCGCTCTGACGTCTTCCGTGCGCCGAATGCCTGTGCGACCGCGTGCGCGTGCTTGCCTGTGTGCTCGGGGCTGGGAACGGAGGAAGTTCACTTTGTCCTGAGTGGGCGCTCAGAGACCCGGGTGCTCTGTCTCCCCCACGCGCCGCCCGTCTTGCCCCGCAAGTGGAACGCAGACAGTTTTCGAACAACCGCTGCTTCTGTGCGTCTGCGTCTGGCGCCCGTGGGTCCCACGTGCCGCGGACTTTCCCTGTCCCCCGCTCTCCGCTTTGCTCCACGGCAGGTACGAGAACGGGAAGGGGCGCGGATGCGTGAGGGAGAGGGTCGGGGGCGAGGGCGGCTGGCGGCTCCCAGCCGTGGGTCCTTGCCTGTCGGTGACCCTGGCGGCGTCCTCGGGCGCAGTCAGGGCTGGGCCCTGGGGTGTCGTGTTTTCCACGGCCGGTCCCGCGTGCTACCTCGCTCAAACGCTCCTCACTGTGCTGTAGTTAGTGGTTACAAGAGCGAGGTCACCATGTGTGGGCACTGCACAAGCTGCAGGCGGGAGCACAGTGAACCGGTGAGACCGCCTTCTCTATATTTAAATGACCCGGGTTCTCACTGCGTGGCCGCGGGATGCTGTCTGGCCGGGCCTCCTGCAGCATTCCGCGGCGGTTCCGTCCGCGTGGGGCTCGGTGGCGTTCAGCCGGGAGCCCGAGGCGGCAGAGGGGCGGGGAAGGAGGATCAAACTAGGATCTGCCCCCTGCCCGCATCCTGACCCTCGCCGGCCCCGCGGGATCCCCGCGGACACATCGGGCAGCTGGGTCCCTGTGCGTTTGTCCAACTTTCCCAGAGGGACCAGCGTGAAGGGTGCACAGTAGCTCTGTGGATTGATCCCTCTTCTGTGTTTAATTTACAGACTTTTTTCAATTTCGAGCTTGAGGCCATGGAAACGTAGCTGATGATTTCTTTTGCTGATGATTTTTCTTTTTGAAGACGATTTCTGTCTTCAGCCCTTTTCTTCTGCTAGCAAGGATGTCAACTGTTACTGCCTGCTGCTGATGCCTTTGCTAGGTGAGACTACTGTGTGAGTCAAAGTGAGTCTGTGTGAATCAATAATGAGCTATTTTAATTTGGATTTACATAAAGTGGAAAACTATGAAAACATAAATACAGAAAATAACAATTTTTCTCTTCCTAGTTCTTTATAGTCTCCCAGTGCTCCACCAAGCTGATTATCTTACAGTCCATACTGTGTTAATTAAGAGGGCCAGTTACTTTTCTTATTCTAGGTTCTGTGTTTAAGTCCAAGACATTTTTAACATGGGAGGATTTTAGTTATAGATTTTCATAATGACTATGGTCTGTGGAAGCCTTTGTACAAATTGTTAATGTGAGGAGGAGTAAGAAAGAAAAAAGAAATGAGTGCCCCTCGCCCCCACAGAGATGCCCACAAGGTACAGTAATAAATGTGGCCTTGAAAACTATTGCTATAGATTAACTTTCAGTATAATGAAGTTTTCACATGAATAACTGTTTAAGTGATTCACATGTTCTGTTAGAGTGGTGTTGTCACAGATTACTAACTTATGAAACTCATTTAGCATAATGAGGTTATTTAGGAAGTTAAATAGAAAGTGATTCCTGGATAGAGGGTATTATAGTGACAGCATTTCTCCTCTCAACCCCAGTGTGTTGTTTTTGACCTTGTCTATCACAGTGCTTGTGAATGGACAGTACGTATTTCTGGTGGGAAGAACTGCTTCACACCCATGAAATGACTGTAAGACAGTCTTCTACAGTTTATCAAAGGTTTCTCTGTGTGAGGGAATAGCCAAAATACTACATTGTATAGGTTTTTTTGTTTTTTAATTTACTTGAAAGGCAGAGTTACAGAGAGAGAAAGAGGGAGAGACAGGTTTTCTATCCATTGGTTCACTCCTCAAATGGCCACAATGGCCTGGGGTGGGCCAGGCTGAAGCCAGGAGCTAGGAACTTCTTCCTAGTTTCCAACTTGGATGCAGTGGCCTAAGCACTTGGGCCATCCTCTGCTGCTGTCCCAGGTGCATTAGCAGGGAGCTGGATTGGAAATGGAACAGACCGGTCTTGAACCAGTGCCTGTGTGGGATGCCAGCATTGAAAGTGGCTACTTAACCCACAATGCCAGCCCCAAGGTGCATTTTTTTCAAAGGAGGAGGGGTAAGTTTTTTCTGATGTGACTCAATATAAAGGTTATAATCTGTAGTAGAAAATGATTTTGGTTATATTTTGACTTTCATTAAATTTCTTTTTATATTTTTGAAGTTAATGAGTCCTAGTATTTATCTCATGTTATCCTTGCTTTGATAAATAAGCTTTCTTCCATCTCTTATTTAAAATACTTTTTAAAAAAGATTTATTTTGTGTATTTGAAAAGCAGAGTGACAGAGAGAGAGAGGGAGGGAGGGAAAGGTCTATTTTAGCCCCCAAATGGCTGCAGTGGCCAGAGCAGGGCCAGACAGAAGCCAACAGCCTAGAACTCCATTTGGGGCTCCCATGTGGGTGGCAGGGACTCAAGTGTTGGGCCGTTTTTTGCTGCCTTTCACAGGCATATTAGTAGGAAACTGGGTTTGAGTGGAGCAGCTGGGACTTGAACTGGTGTTCATATGGGATCTGGCATTGCAGGTGGTAGCATAACTCAGTGTGCCACAATACTAGCCCATCAATAGTACATTTTTAAGTGTAACCAGTGGCTATGAAAAATGTTCAATCTAAATTCACAAGGGAAACTGAAAGAAGTTTCGTCTAACTCCAATTGGTTCCACAGGCCTTTATTGGACATCAGCTCTTACTGGGCCAATAAGCGAAACAAAATAAGTCAGAACTTTAGTTAAAATTTTGCTCTAAATCATGGGTGGGGAACATCCAGCCTGTGGTCCCTGTAAGGTCAATGAAATCGTTTGTTCTGGCCCAGCCAAGGGAACTGCAAGTGGGAGTGGATGATCAATCTACAAGTACTGTCCATGAATGATATAAATATCCAAATGAGCTTGACAGAAAAACTTTCCCACCCCTGCAAAGTGTTAATGGCAAATCCAATGCAATTTACTAATCTGTTTATGAGTGAATGAATAGGAGCTGATGCTTTGCCCTAGTAGGTTAAGCCTCTGCCTGTGGCTTTGGCATCCCATATGGGCACCGGTTCCTGTCGCTGCTGCTCTTCTTGTGATCCAACTCTCTGCTAATGGCCTGGGAAGTGGAAAATAGCCCAAGTGCTTAGGCCCCTGCACACATGTGGGAGACCCCGAGGAAGCTCCTGGCTTCAGATCAGCCCAGCTCTAGCTGTTGAGCCATTTGGGGAGTGAAACAGTGGATGGAAGACCTCTTTCTCTGTCTCTCCCTTTCTCTTTAAATCTGCCTCTCAAATAAATAAATAAATCCTAAAAAAAAAAAAAAAGTGGATGAATAGCTACAATTACCAAAATCCTGTGGAAGCCAGACACTTCTAGGCAACACATGTCAGATACCTATTGTGTTTCTAAATACTGTCAGAGATGCCAGGCATGTTGATAAAATGGCTTTATTCCTTCTCAGAACATTGAAATTGGAATCCTGTGTGACGAGAGAGGTATGTGCATCAAAAATAATGCTGCTGCTGTTGGCTCACAGAGAACCTGTTTCTTGAAATGCATGTCTATGGCCAGTGTGCATGAGGTATCCATGTGTACAGTTGGTACTAACTCATATGCAAATGTTCTTTTCTAGATGTGCATGATGTAGGGATTCTCCAGTGTCTGGTCCTTGTTGGGGGAGATGAAGAGAGGATACATATTTGGGGAATTGCATAGCTCAAAATTGGTTTCTGAATATCAAATTTGCCATGAGTAGTGCTGCTTAAAAATATAGAACCCCCACATGCTCTATTGGGTGACTTGGTTTTGCCAGATCAGTAATGGCAAATCTCTCTCTCACTCTCTCCCATTCTCTCTGTATCTCTGCCTTGCAAATAAATAAATAAATCTTTTTTTATTTTTTTGACAGGCAGAGTGGACAGTGAGAGAGAGAGACAGAGAGAAAGGTCTTCCTTTGCCGTTGGTTCACCCTCCAATGGCTGCCGCTGCCGGCGCACTACAGCCGGCGCACCGTGCTGATCCGATGGCAGGAGCCAGGTACTTATCCTGGTCTCCCCTGGGGTGCAGGGCCCAAGTACTTGGGACATCCTCCCCTGCATTCCCTGGCCACAGCAGAGAGCTGGCCTGGAAGAGGGGCAACCGGGACAGAATCCGGTGCCCCGACCGGGACTAGAACCCGGTGTGCCGGCGCTGCAAGGTGGAGGATTAGCCTAGTGAGCCACGGCGCCGGCCAAATAAATAAATCTTATAAAAGAGATAGATCTTCCATCTCACCTGGCTGCAATGGGGATAATGTATTTCCCAGGAAATAATGTATTGAAGGATTTGGTAAGTCTTTTTCTTTGCTTGACTCAGGTGAATTTCTCCTGAAAAGTGAAAAGTCAGCTATGAGTAGACCACAGGAAGTTGTCTTTTGATTTCTCTGAGTGACCATGGTGTACTGCTGCTGCCCACTATTCCAAAGGCCTGTGGTGCTCTCACCTGACCATCTGTAAGCCAGAAAGACGGAGTCTCCACCATTGGAGATTCCATTTTTTTCCTCCTCTTTGTCTCCCGCTTTTTCTCTTGGCTGCTTCTGCTGGTCTACAAAGGAGATGATTGCTCTTCATCCAAGATGCCACTTGGCCTCTCTTCCTGGGAAGACTGCTTCTTGTGTGACACTGGTCATAGAAAGGTTCTGATGGGCTCACATGGGACATCTTCAAGGTGGACAACTTGTCCTACTTTCCAACCCTCTAGCAGTGTAGTGAATGCCACTGTATCAGCAAGTGTAGCTTTCTAGGGAATTTGATGGAGAGAAGGGCTGAGGAAACTCATCATCCCTCATTTCATTGCTTTTCTCATTATGCTTCTCTGTTCTTGGTATTATTTCCCAGCTTTTCCATTGGTTCACATCCAGCATGTGATTCTATTTTCACAGCTGTCAGCCCTTTTCCACTTCAAGCTATTTTTCAGAGAAGGACAAAGATGTTATCAGTCACCATAAAGTACTTCAAGTAATTATGTGGCTTTTTTTTTTTTTTTTTTTTTTTTTTTAAGATTTGTGTATTTATTTGAAAGAGTTAAACAGAGAGAGAAGGAGAAGCAGAGAGAGTGAGGGATTTTCCATCCGTTGGTTCACTCCCCAGATGGCTGCAATGGCCAGAGCGGGGCTGATCTGAAGCCAGGAACCAGGAACTTCTTCTGGGTCTCCCATGTGGGTGCAGGGGCCCAAGGACTTGGGCCATCTTCTGCTTTCTCAGGCCATAACAGAGAGCTGGATTGGAAGTAAAGTTTCCAGGACTTGAACCAGGGCCCATATGGGATGCTGGCATTGCAGGCAGCTTTACCCGCTATACCACAGTGCTGGCCCCTAAGTAATTATGTTTTCATTGTGACTGCAAGATTGGAAAACTGACTTCTCTTGGCACTTAACAGATTTGATGGGTGCTTATCCTGGGGCTCACTTTGAGTGCTAGACACAATTGTTCTGTGTGACTACTTCATATTTCAGATTCTTGCTCTTTATTTTCTTAAGAAAACCATATCTGAACTTTGCTCCCCCTTCTAGAATTTTTGTGCTTCAGCCTTTTTATAACCATGAACATGAGTACGCTTTTTCCTTCTCTTTATTATGCTAGAAGAGCAATGGAGACATTGCAACTCTCCCCTGTCAACATATCTTCCTCAGTCTGTCTCTGACTTAGGCATTGGATTAACCTTGCCACACTAAAAGACATCCATCTAAACTCAGTGTACATTTTCAATAAAAGTCATCATAAAATCAACTTGCCTTCTATACTTCTTATCATTTATTTTGAAACATGTTCTGAGTGTGTCTTTTCTGTCAGTGTCTGTAAGCTGGAGAATTCCCTCTTAAGGCAGAAGGCTGTTGAGGGACAGCACAACTGTAGCCTTGCTCTGTTACTTGACTGTGGCTCCTCTTTTCACCTGTTGCCTTTATTTTTTTTTTTTTTAAGATTAAAAAATTTTATTTTAAAGGCAGGGTTACAGAGAAAGAGACTGGGGAGAAGAATGGGGATCTTGCATCTGCTGGTTCACTCCTCAAGAGGCCATAATCAACAGGACTGGCCCAGGCCAAAGACTGGAGTCTGGAAGTCCATCCAAGTCTCCCATGTGGGTGCAGGGGTCCAAGTACTTGTGCCATCTGCTTCTGCCTCCCCAGTTGCGTTAGTAGGGAACTGGATCAGAAGTGGAACAACTGTGACTCAAACTGGCACTCATGGGGCTGTCATTGTGGCACAATGGGAAACGCCACTGCCTGCAGTGCCAGCTTCCCATATGGGCACCAGTTCATGTTCCAGTTGCTCCACTTCTGATCTGGCTCTCTGTTAATGGCCTGAGAAAAGCAGCAGAGGATGGCTCAAGTGTTTGGGCCCCTGCAATCCACATGGGAGACCCAGATGAAGCTCTTGCCTCCTGGTTTCTATCTGGCCCAGCTCTGGGCATTGCAGCCATCTCAGATGAAAGATCTCTCTCTCTCTTTTAGGATTTATTTATTGATTTGCAAACAGAGATATGGAGAGAAAGGAAGAGGATGAGAGAGATAGTCCATCTGCTGTTCTATTCCCTAGATGGCTGCAATTGCCAGGGCTGGACCAGGCACAAGCCAGGAGTTAGGAGCTTCATCCAGGCTTCCCATATGGGTGGCAAGAACCCAAGTACTTGGACCATTTTCTGCTTTTCTAAGGCCATTTGCAGGGAGCTGGATCAGAAGTGGAGAGCCAGGACATGAAATGCTACTCTACAATGCTATTCCGTCTGTGTCTCCCTCCTCTCCATAACTCTGACTTCTTTTTTTTTTTTTTTTAATTATTATTATTTTTTTTTACTGTGAGAGGTAGAGTTACTGTGAGAGGTAGAGACAGAGAAAGAGAGGTCTTCCATTCACTGGCTCACTCCCCAAGTGGCCACAGTGACTGGAGCTGAGCTGATCTGAAGCCAGGAGCCAGTAGCTTCTTCTGGGTCTCCCACATGGATGCAGGGGCCCATGGACTTGGGCCATCCTCTCCGATTTTCCCAGGTATATTAGCAGGGAGCTGGCAACCAAGACCCAAACTGGTACCCAGATGGGATGCTAGTCCTGCAGTCCAGGGCCTTAACCAGCTGTGCCACAGTGTAGGCCCCCATAAGTCTGACTTTCAAACAAATAAGTAAATAAATCTTTTAAAAAAAAATGGACACTCATAGTAAATGCCAGCATTTTATTTGGTGGTGGCTTAATCCATTGTGCCACAAAGCCACCCCAACCTTTATTCTCCTGTTGACTTGTCTGTCACGATCTTGATAATATCTGCTGAACAGATGTTGGCCTTATGTTGGACTGTTCTGTTTTTATTTTGATTCTCATCTGTTGAGTTTATTTTGGTTGTCATTTTTGAGTAGGTAGCTATAATGTCTTCACTGGCTAAAGCTGCCATGTGCTAGGCTGGAACAGATTTTTTTTTTAAGATTCATACAAATTTTTTTATTCTTTTTTTTTTTCTTTTTTTTTTTTTTTACTGCCCACTCGGGCCAGGCCTTCCCCCAGCCCTGAAGCGCCTCCCCAAGGGCCCCTGTAGTCTCTGACCAGAGCCCTGCGAGGGGTCCTAGCCTCCCTCTCGGCCCAGCCACTCTGGTGGGAGGGCCGGGGGCTTCTGCCACAAGCCTGCTGCCCACGCACCCTCCACTGCCCAGTGCCCGGTCCTTCCTGGGCTCTGAGGGGCGGGTGCAGGGCAGGCTGTGGCACAGCCCCCAGTGCTCCTCCCCTTCCAGGCCAGGTGCACGAGGCCGTGGAGTGAGGGGCATGGGTCGGAAATTTATTTATTTTTAAAAACAGATTATTTATTTGAAAGAGTTACAGAGAAAGGCAGAGGCAGAAAGACCCCCCCCCCCCCTTTTTGAAAATATTTATTTATTTGAAAGGCAGAGAGAGGCAGAGGCAGAGAGTGAGGTCTTTCCACTGGTTCACTCCCTAAATGGCTGCAAGGGCCAGAGCAGTGTAGATCCAAAGCCAGGAGCTTGGAGCTTCTTCTGAGTCTCCCATGTGGGAGCAGGTTTTTTTTTTTTTTTTTTTTTTTTTTTTTTTGACAGGTAGAGTTAGACAGTGAGAGAAAAGAGATTCAGAGAGAAAGGTCATCCTTCCATTGATTCACTCCCCAAATGGCCTCTATGGCTGGCACTGTGCCTATCTGAAGCCAGGAGCCAGGTGCTTCTTCCTGGTCTCCCATGCGGGTGCAGGGGCCCAAGCATTTGGGCCATCCTCCACTGTTAGGCCAACTTTTACTGCTTTCCCAGGCCATAGAAGATAGTTGGATCAGAAGTGGAGCAGCCAGGACTTGAACTGGTGGCCATATGAGATGCCGGCACTGTAGGCGGAGGCTTAATCTGCTGTGCCACAATGCTGGCCCCTCAAACTGATTCTACCTTTTTTTTTTTTTTTTCTTGAAATACAAGTGGAAAATGAAATCCTCTTGAAACTAATATACTACAAAGTAACAATTGAAGATCAAGCTTC